ATATCCTGTGCCTTTTCATCCTTTGTCTATGGTAAGATGGTGGCATATAAAAGCATGAAGTCTTTGTGTATGTGTGCTGGTTCTGAGACTTGACCACAGAGCCTTGGCACTCTCCCTTAGCTTTTCCTCTCATGGCTAGTTCTACCAGTTGAGTCACAGCTCTACTTCTGACTTCTTTTTTGGGGGGGGTGAGGGGGACTATGGATTGATCAATTGGAGATAAGAACCTCATGGACTTTCTTATTCAGTGTAGATTTAAATTTGAATCCTCAGATCTCAGCTTCCTAAATAGCTAGGTGTAAGCTACCATCACCTGGCTCTCTTATAAACTTCCTAGCCTGAAACAGGCATTTTGTTTTGGCAGGGAGCATCCTACATGCATGCTAAATGGTCACTAAATACTTACCAATGTCTAGATTAAGAGAATGTTCCAAGTGTCTGTCTGGTCTTGCCTTCTAATGAATTTGTATAGTATTGCTTTAATGTCACTTGACCTTCAAAAACATCTGATAAGTTTTCCAGATACTGTGATAATCAAGCCAGTCGAAGCCATTTCTAAACCCTATATTGCTTTGTTGTTCATAAAAGTTTTCTAATATAAGATGGTGCTAATGAAATGAACTCCAAGATAGGGACACAAGAAATGTACTATGTAAATTTTTTTGTTTCTTTTGTATGTTCTTCCCCCATGGTATAACCCCTGTTTTCACTGTATTTGATTCTCATGCCCTGCATCTTTTTTACAAATTTTTCTAATTTGGGGAGGGGAAGGGAAATAACAAAATGCTGAAATAAGGATACAAGTTGACCCATTGTAACAATGAGATGTACAAGACACTATGTTGAAAATGAACTTTAAAACTTCTGGGGGGGAAGGAAGGAGGAGGTGGGGAGGGAAGGCATGGTAGGGGAAAACAAAGGAGGCGGTAACACTGGTCAATAGGAAATGTACTCATTACCTTACTCATGTAACTAACCCCTCTGTATAGTATCTTTACAATAAAAAATATATATTTAAAAAAGTTTTCTGGGAGGGGGAGGGGATGAGAAGGGAGATAGGAAGGGATTGGAAGGGGAAACAAAGGAAGAGGCAACAATACTTGATAAGAAATGTACTCATTACCTTGCCCATGTAATTTTAACCCCTCCATATGGTATTTTCACAATAAAAAAATAAAAAAAAGAATAAAGTTGCACAAGTTCAAAAAGTTAAAAAAAAGAGACTTCTTTTATTATCTTTATCTCTGTATGCCTCATACTTAGGGAAATCTAAATTACATTGGTTAAAAGAATGAATGTGGCTTAGTACCATGATTGACTACTTCATTGTCAGTGGAGATTCACCATACATTGGCTGTTTCCTTTATCTGGAACTATTTTTACTAAAATGATTTTGCTAGTTCTAACCAACAAAGTCATCTTAGTAAGCTAAACTATTGGCTTTTATTTGTCTTTCTTATAATAGTAATGGATTTTTATTAAATGGCCAATAATAGCATTTACTTACCCTTTTACTTACCCATTAACATACTTTCAAATTTGTACATTAACAAAAGAAACTCTTATTTAACTGACATGTTAATACATAAGGAGATTTTTAAAAATACTATTGGCAAATCTAACTTACATTTTATGTGAAGTAGGGGCTTTTTAATGATTGAAACTTGTTTTTATCACATAAACATTTTTATTATGATAATAAATGAAATGGAATGAAATTGAGATTTCTTTAGTATTTATTAGGTCTAATGCTAGCTATATAGTTTAATAACAAATAGAACTTCTGTTAATTAATTTTTTTTTTTTTGGTCTGGGGGTCGTGGGGCCTGAACTCTGGGCCTGGGCGCTGTCCCTCAGCTCTTCAGCTCAAGGCTAGCGCTCTACCACTTGAGCCACAGCGCCACTTCCGGCTTTTTTCTTATGTGGTGCTGAGGAATCGAACCCAGGGCCTCAGGCATGCAAGGCAAGCACTCTACCACTGAGCCACCTTCCCAGCCCCCTGTTAATTAATTTTGAAAAGGAATACAGCTTGGTTAGAAACAGTGACACGAGTCAAATACAATTAGGAGCTCTGGCTTGCCAATCCACTTGTTTTGAATGGTCTGTAGTCTTTCTAAACTGAATATTTCTTACCTGCTAACACATGATAATTTCTCCTGCTTGGCATTTGGGGTGAGTTTTATTGCTGCCTCTCCTCAACACACAAGCCACAATGAGAAAGCATTGTTTATTAACTACTAAGGAAGTACCTTAAAGTTACCAGTTCAGGGCTATCATGAGAAATGCTGGCCCAGGTGAAGTTACCTGTTCCCACTGATCTCAGAAATAAGTCTTCACCTATGCCACATTATTGTGTGGAGGTCAGGTCATTCACCTGTGGGCAGCATGGTAAGAAGAAGAGGAGAGGAAGAAAGTATGCTGTTAGAGCATAGGTGTTTTCCCAAAGGGGGTTGGGGATTGGGGCACAAGTGCTGCTATTCTCTACCCCTGCAGTAAGGTGGATACTTAAGTTAAGAAATAGCCGTCTGCACCCAAACTCAACAAAACCAATAGGAGCCAAAACTAATCTTAACTGGTTAGTGTTTTAAATATGATGCAAGGCTATGTATATAAAGTGTCTGAGACAGTCCTCTTATCAAGACGTTAATGACACTACATCTTGTCAAGAAAAGCAAGCTTTTCCTAGGTGAGTGCTATAAGCAAGACCTTTTTTTAATTGAAGAAGTCAAGGCTCTGAGACAGAAACATAATTCCAGTATAAAAACCATTAGCTAACATAGCAACAAGCTAAAAGGTGGTTAGATCTTTACCTTGTTTTGGATTTAGAAACCCTCAAATCCTTTCGCTAATGCTCTTTAGAGCAGAGAAAAATAATCAAGTTGTTGTCTGGGACTCCTGAATTATATTGTACTTTCATCACGGATATAGTGTACTTTCATTCACAGGTGAATTAAGGATAAGGGTATGTGAATGAACATTTTCAGCTAATGCCATTAATCATGGATGCACTGGCAAACCATCACTACCTCTTACATTTTTGTTTGTTTTACAGTACTGGGCCTGAACTCTAGGCTTCACACTTTCACTTTTTGTTTTTGTTTTGTTCACTGCTTGCACCTAAATCACGTCTCCAAATTCTGGCTTTTTGCTGATTAGAAATAAGAAAGATGGGTACGGCTCATTCAGACTTGTAATCTTAACAACTCAGAAGGCTAAGATCTGAGGATTTTAGTTCAAAGCCAGTCTAGGCAGGAAAGTCTGTGAGACTCTGGTTTCAATTAACCAACAAAGAGCTGGAAGTGTAGCTGTGGATCAAACAGTACAGTGCCAGGCTTGAGCTAAGACACTCAGAAATGGTGCCCAGGTTCATGCCTCACGACTGGTAGAAAAGAAAGAAAAGAAGAGAGAAGAAAAAGGAAAGAAAGAAACAAAAAAAAGAAGGAAAAAGAAAGGAGGGAGGGAAGGGAAGGAAGGAAGAAGAAAGAAAGAAAAAGAAAGAAAAAAACAGGAGAAAGAAAGATGAAAACTTGTCTGTGCAGATGGGCTTCAAACTGAGATTCTCAGATTTCAGCCTCTTGAGTAGCTAGGATTGTAGGTGTGAGCCATCCATGCCTGGCTCCTACATGTTTTTTTTTTAATATTATGACTTCTTGCAATGATCTTAAAACCTAAATCAACAATTTTGACACATACAAAAATTAGAGATATATAATTCTACTTCAGATTGATCGACAAGATACAATAGTAAAATAATTTGACAAAAGAAAGCTTTATGTTTCTTTATATTTAATATATGAAAATGCATCAAAGAATTTCTAGAAGTTGTGATTAAAACAATAAAATTTAAGAGATAGTGGGAGAACAACAAAGGAGGGGGTAAAGATGCTCGACAAGAAATGTACTAATGACCTTTCTCGTGTAACTGTAACCCCTCTGTACAACATCTTTACAATAAAATAAATTTTTAAAAACACAATAAAATTTGATGATACTGCAGATCTTCACTTTAAGACATTTTATTTGAGCAAAGATGTTTCCATTTTTGTGCACTGGTAGTAAATATTCTGTGTTTTAACTTTCTGATGAGTAGAAAAAGATAATGTATTTTATCATATTTTAGATTCAAGTTCTTGCTCCATATTTTCCTTAAATTAAGTTTTATTTTGTTCCTGAAACTAGATCACAAGTCTAATTTCAAATTTTTCCTTTAAAGAGTCGGGATAATGTCATAATAGATGGCTTCAAATCTCAATAGCTTAACACAACATGGTCATAATTCTCACACATACTATTTGTGTCATAGTGAGCTGATTGGGACATTTATTTATATTTGATCCTTACTAAGAGACCAAGGCCAAAAGAATTTTCATTTCAGTGTTTCTGTGATAGCAGAAATTGAGCGGTGTGGGTGGGGGGGAAGTAAGGGGAGGAGGTTGAGGAATGGAATTGTGCCTCTTACTTCTCTTATATGAAAGCAAGACATGCTACTTCTTGCATTTCATTGGCCAACAGAGTCACATGACCATGTACACCTACCATTTGACTGGAAGACAAAGAGCCAGAAATATTTGTTAAAATACAATTGCTGTGAAAAGTGTCCCATTACTTCTATTTTCTGTCGAGGTCACAATAATAATATGCAACAGAAGGCAATTATAAACTATGTCGGGCTGAAATTCTCATTTCTTGTACAATATTATGCTGTAATACAGATTAAGTTAAAATAAGAGACTTGACCTCTACCAAATTCAAGCTACAAATGCATCTTAGCAAACAATATTGCCCCCATTTGACAAAATATAGTACACATATATGTGAGGGACTAAAAGATAGAATTCTTTGAAGGAAAAAAAAAGTGGAAATAAGAGGATACATGGATATTGGTTAGAAAGGAATTTGAAGTGACTTGTTAAAAAATACTGTTCTTTTTTTTACATCTGAGACTATTGAGACATTCTTTATGATACTAAATAAGAAAATCTGTTTTGCTTTCTCCTTAGGAAAATATAAACATTGATGAAGCCTCCAGGTGCCTGGTGAAGCACATACTTGCTCATGAATGTGACCTAATGGAGTCCATAGAGCCTGACATCGTGAAGCCTCATCTCCCCTCACCCAAGGCCGTCAGCTGTTCCAGCTGTGCTAAATCCTAGGAGGGTCCTATGCTGGCATATGACAGACATAATCCCATGATCTCATGAATTATGCCTCCATTTGTACCATTTTGGGTAAACCAGGTGAGGGAAACACACGTGCCAAGCCAAAGATCTATGCCTGTACCTTTTCTGTAAGAGAAATAGTAAGTGCTCTTTTTTAATGTTCTCCCACCATCCACACAGTGTTTACACACTTTGAAAACAGTCTGTTACAAAATTCTCTTGACCTGCAGAACACAATTTTACAACATCAGCCCTGGTATTTGCTCTTTTAAATCAACAAAGTTGTCCAGATTTAAAGAGAAAGTGGATAAGAGCAAACCAGCTGTCAAGTTAAGCATTGGCGTTTGCCTTTGTCCTGGTGTGTCTTTGTTCAGATTTCAATGTGTTCTTTGATGGTCTGGCAGGCTTGTTAAAGAGAAATGGTATTCTCTTCAGAGACAACCTCCATTCTTGGCAGAACTAAGTGTTGTGTGTATGATTTAGCTCTTCAGAGTTATGTCCACAGCCTCCTGTGCTTTTGTTGCCTTCATTCCCATTGTGTGCCCCAAATGCTGTGCTGGTTTATCTGTAGGTGCCTTTCTTCTGGCTTTCTCAGACTCAAGCTGTGGGACTCTTCTATATATGTAAGATGTATTATACATATTTTCACAAGTGAGAAATAAAACATTGAATGTTGCTGTTTCTCTATTTATGAAAGTGCTTTAAATTCCTTAGTGTGCTGAATGTTTTCTTTTTTCTTTTTTTTGACAATGTGTATTTCTCCAAATTCATTTCTAAATTTTATTTCTGAAAGGAGAGAAGAAGTGATGCCAAGTGTATTCTAACTGCATCATATCCATTTTTTGGCTATCAAAGCAAGCAGTATACGTATATTTGTTTGTTGTTAATATGAGGAATATACCCTCAGGTACTCTGACCCAGAAAGTGCTGGATGAGGCAACATAAAGAAACAACATGCACAGTATTGCCTAGCCATAGCTGCACTGGCATGCAATGCAGATATAGTTTTTGTACATAGTTTTTGTGTATATGTAGAACTAGGGCTCGAACCCAAGGCCTAGGCATGCTAGTCAAACACTCTATCACTTCAGCCACATTTCCAAGCTAGTGTTTTTAATTGCATATTTCCCGGTAATAACCATATTATACTCAGAGGCCATTTGTAATAGATATTTTTTCAGTATCCTATTATATACTCTTTAAAAAATTGTATTTTTATTTCTGAACAGGCCTTTGGGGGAAAAGTGTGTTAAATATACTTTCCAGCTAAATGTTTCCTAACTTGTAATTATTTTTAACTATTCTCCTTAGGAGAGACTTAAATAGCACTCTAACCACAAGCCCACTATTATGTTCTCTTGACTCTCACTGTGTCTGTAAGCACCAACTACCAGGCTTCCTGTTATTTGCAGGCCAGCAACTCCAGGGAGTTAACATCTCTTGGAGTCAGGAGCAGATCTCAATTGGTAGTAATAATGAAGGTTGCTTGTTCCTCAGAAAGGATAATTCTGAGGCATGCTCTGTGGAACCTCAAAGGCCCCTAGGGGGATAAAATCCCTGGTTCCTATGGGGCAATCTTCCTAATTTAAGCCACCCTCGGCTGGCTTTCTTTCTTTCCATTTCTTATCTCTTTACTCTTTTATTAGTGCTTCTTGGATTTGCCTTTCAAATAAATCAAATTCACTTAAATCCTTGAGTTGGGTCTTCTTATGGAGCCATTTAACCTCAGTTAAGATAGAGCTGGTCCTCAGAAACAGGTCGTTAGTACCAGCCTCCTTAATTCTATCATTCATCACCAAGGTGACAGCAAGTACTTGCTGGTACATAGCATTGTAGAACTATAGCACTGTAATTATGGTTATTCTCCTTTGGAGAAGAAAATAATAAAATTCAAATAGAAGAAAATGCTAGAGCATTTGAAAGATGATATTGTGGAGTGAGTTGACAGTCTTAAGAAACCTAGGAGTGAAACGCTCTTCCTGGCAGCAGTTAGTCAGTTTTTAAATAAGTTACCAAAAGCATGGGCTACAAAAACAAATGTAGACAAATGGAATAATATCAAACTAGCAAGTCTCTACACAGCAAAGGAGACAATTGAGAGAATGAAGAAACAACCTAAATAATGGTATTAATATCAAGGAAAGAAGCTTGGTGCCATCCCTACTACTCAGGGGGCTGAAATTTAAAAGATCCAAGCCAGTTTTGATAGAAAAGTTCAAGAGACCATCTCCAGTTAACCAGCAAATGCCAAACTGAAAGCATGGATGAAGTGGTAGAGCACGAACCTCGAGTGGGAAACTGAGTAAGAGCAAGACGCTCTACATTAAAGTCCCAGTATTAGCGCACATATGCGCGCACACACATAAAGTATACCAGCAACTCAAAACTTGAACAACCCTCTCCTCAAAAACCCAATTTAAAAATGAGCAAAAGTCTTTAGTGTTCATTTCTCAGGAGAAGAAATGCAATGGTTAAGCCTATGAAAACATGTTCAACCTCATTAGACATCAGAGTAAGGCAAATGAAAAGCACCATGACATGCTGTTTCACTCTGGTCAGAATGGATAGCATCAAAAAGGCAATAAATAAATAAATAAATAAAACCACAAAAAACAAAAACAAATGCTGCTGAAAATGTAGAGAAATGGAATTCATACACTATAGAGGTGTAAACTAGTACAGTTGCTATGAAGAACAATATGGTGATTCCTCAAACTGAAAGATCTACCTTGTGATTCAGTGGTCTCATTTCTAACTATATACCTACCTGGAGAAAATGAAAATAATGTATCACAAGTACACTTGCCCATGTTTATTACATCACAAGTCACAATACTTAAGTTGCATAATCAACCCAAGTGTTCAGGGACAAACTGGAAAATATAGAAACATGTATATTGAAGTGAAATAATGTCCTCTCTTGCATGTGGAAGCTAAAAAAGTTGACACAAAGAGTAAAGTATTAACTACTAGATGTTATGAAACAGCAGGGAAGGTGTTACCAAAATGAAGTTAGGTAGGAAGATTCATATGTAATGCCCTATAGTACAATAATTTACTAGAATTATTTACTAGAAAGGAGTAGCATAAAGGCCCCAGACATGATGAGCTAAAACTGTGAATTCTCTTGAGATTATCAGTACATATTGTGTGTATATACGCACTATGTATGCATGTATGTATATAGGTATAATAATATTGTATTAATTAAAAAGAAATCATTTTGTCAAAGAAACTGATAGATGACATAAATATAGAATCTGTTCAGCCAAAATTTAAGTTAGCTGAACACCTTCAAGCATCAGTCAAAATGATCCTTATTGTCTCTAGTTACAGCATAGACGATGCAGATTAGTTGTAAAATTTTATTTTAGCCCAGCTGGAGTTGTAATGGAGGTTGAGTTTACAGGACTATCAAGTCCCCTCTAAGTATGTCAAAACCTTTGCAGGAAAGGAAGAAGTCACCAAAGCATCAGGTGTGGTATTTGGACAGACACCATTAAAAGCTTTAAATACCTAGATTCCCCTAAACTGCTGATCTAGAAAATGAATGCTGTTCTTTCTAGTGGAGAATGGCTAATTGTCCTGTAAAGGCTTCATCTCAGTGGGATGTTTGAAGGTGATACTTGCCCTTGTCAATTTCAGTTGTCATTTCCCAGCATTAGATAAATAATTTGAACCAAGTCTTGGTAGGATCTGAATGGAAAGGTATGTTCACTATTGTAGGATGAAATGGATCATTCATCAAATCAATCTGGATAACACCGAGAGTAATATAGAGAACATTCAAAAATACTAATAACCTTGATATCTTGAGGTATTGGATCAGGAAGCATAGAGTATTGGGCCAGTGAATACATAATCTACTTGTTACATATTCCTGAATGAGTTCACTTGTGACATCCCAGGAAATCCACTTGTAGTTGGCCTTAATAGGCTACTGAACATATATTTGATTGCAAATATTGGCCTAGAATAAATGATGTACAGATGCCAGAACTACCTTGGCAAAAAATAAAGAAATAGTCTAAAGTCCTGCAGAAATGGAAGTGTTTCAAGGTATTTATATTTTTTTATATTTATTTATGTTAAGGCCAGCTTATTGTGTTCCTTAGCTAAGTCTAGAACATATTCTTTTCACTAGACCAATATGAATCTTCCAAAAGAGACATAGATTATCGATGAGAAGCCAAGTGGTACCTTTTATCTATAGACAAGGTTTGTGATCATATGAAATTATAGAAGTTGATGTGTTTTTATGGGACTGACTCCCTAAATGGTTAAAGCTGAAGGTGTAGTAATAAAATGTTATGAGTATCTTTGAAACTATATTCTGGACAGCTGGCACCAAATTCCTTCCTTCCTTTCTCTTTTCCTTCTCTTCCCTTCCCTTCCCTTCCCTTTCCTTTCCTTTTCTTTAAGGTGATGTACAGAGGAGTTTCAGTTACATAAGTAAGGTAGTGATTACATTTCTTGTCTAACTTTTTACCCCTTCCCATATAACAGATTCTCAAGTAGCTAAGATTCTGGCATCCAATTTTATCATTTTCAATAACCATCTTTAAAATGTGCTCCTCCTTGCCACAATTTAAGCTTCTTCAGAGTTAAGTCTTATATCAGAAAACACAGAGAGGTCTGTTGCTGTTCACACAGCGAGACCCGGGCACTTAGTGTCTATAGGCAGAAAGGGACCATACCATGTGGGTATAGACAAAGTTTATTAAAACATCATATGCTTATATAGGGCATAAGGGCATAGAAGGTAAGTTACAGGACAGACGAGACAATCACAGGACAGAAAGTTGACCTTCTTGGGAAAATGTGGACAATTAGCAACCTTTAATGGGTGATGGGAAAGACTTGTTCCAGATAATAAAAGAGGAAGCAAGGTGCAGGTGGAGCTCCATTAAATAGACAAAAGGAATCTAGAGGTATCGTTCTACACAATTAACTAGGAAGAGCACAAAGGGCACTTCCCAAAAGCCACCTGAGTCTGGAACCATGCTCAGGACCTTTGCCCCACATGGAGGAAGGGGCGTCCCCCTCCCCCCCAGGAATGCATGCCAGCCGAAGCACTCACGGCAGCACACAGGAACTCAGATGGGGTCTTGCGAGTCAAGTCAGTGCCTCTGACATCTCCCCCTTTTTTGTTTTTTAAGTGTAAAAAAGCAATCATGAGATCCTTTTGCAAAAGATGCACCTTAGCTATTCTGGAGTGGAGACAGCAATATTCTGCTATGAACACAAACAGCATAAGACAAAACACAATCAATTCTGTGGAAATACTATGAGAAAAATCTGCCACCAGGTACAGGGGTCCAATTGGTTTAGTACAGATGTAATTCCCTAAGCCAGACCCTCCTATTCCACCCCAGGGAGCTGTGCAGAGTAAGTCTCAATGACTTCCTGCTGCAACTGGTGTATGTTCCAAGTCAAATTCCTTCACAAGTCTGCAGGTGGTAGTGAGGTCGCTGCCAAGTGATATTAGTGGCATTGAAGCAGGTGGGAGTGATGCACAGCTTTGTTGAGCTCCAATTACGCTTGAAGGTTAGCTGTTTCTGCAGATCAATTCTGGTCTCCCATCACTGTACCATGTGCTGCAGGGTGTTCAGATGGGACACAATGTCCTGTTCAATATTTAGCTGACCAGTCCATAGCTGATGAAAATCCTGTTGCCACTTCTCTACAAAGTCCTTGGTTTGGATGGTGGAATGCAGGGCCACTCCAGCAATCACAGCAGTCACAGAGATGGCGATCAGTCCAAGGATTGCGGCTACAATTAGGCCCAGGAACCTCCTAGTTTTCTTCAGCAGTCACTGGAAGACTCCTGTCAACAAACCAACAGTGGGGCTCTCCTGCCAAGGTCGGGTGAGGTTAACAGGCACCCAGACCCCTAAGCGAGATCTTAA